TGCTTGAGCTCCAGCTCACGGTTGCGGCGGAACTTCTCCTCATCCTGGAAAGCCATCATGCCGAAGGGATCCCAATAGCCCAAAGGAGGGCAAGCTCCCAGCTCCTTGGACGCGTCGAACTGTGCAAAGAAGCCCTGGCCATCGTTGAAGGGCGAGATGTGCCCAGAGGTCAGCTGCTCCACAGGTGACTGTCCAGTGAGACCGTTCTGGATAAGCATCGCTGTCATGGCGACCATCGCCAAGCGTCCATTGTTCAGCTCTGTGGTGAGCTTCAAACGGCGCTCTGCTGGGTCCTGGATCTTTCGACCCCAGTAGCCGGTGCCGAAGTTGCCAGGCTCACCATACTTGGCATAGGCAAAGCCACCAAAGGACTGATCCTTAAAGAGTTGAGTCTCGATGAGCCCAGCCACCAGGAGCACTTGCAGCCACCCCTCCAGGGGGACCTTGCTGATGGCTGCAAGGCCTGAGGGCACATCTGCGAACTTTAAGTTCTGAGAAGGTGACAGGTAACCATCAAACTTGCCGAAGATGTCCTTCGATTGGATGATGTGGAAATGACCAGACTTGGGAGTTGCAGTTTGAGGGACATGCATAGTTACCAAACACTACTAAAAGCCCTTGGCAGACATGATCCATTTCTTAAATGAAAGAACTAAAACAAACAACAATGAAAAGGTTATTATCCTGTCCCAGCATCAGGCCAAAGCATGCCGATGGTCGCGAACATGCAAATCCTACCATGCTTCAACTCTACAGCCCGTCGGCGGTCGAAATCCTCTTTGGTGCAGTCGCCGCCACAGTAGCCAATCGGATCCCAGAACAGAAGTGGGTCACAGGCCCCGATCTCGTTGGAGGCATCGTAGGCACAACGCACCACTGCAGCTCTGGTGCTGGGCCGGGCCACAGACATGGCTACGAGGCCAGCGACGCCCACAGCCCCAACCGCGCCCAGGGTTCCTGTGGACCTCTGCTCCACACTGGAGGTGCCCCTCAGAGCTTGTCTGGGTGCGCCTGCAGGTGCTACGAAGGCAGAGGCCGCCATCAAGGCGGCGCCTGCGCCGGCAGCAGTGGAGATCTTGGACATGGCAGGCATGTCTTAAAATTGTGACAAGCTTGTCTAATCGAAAAAATCGGCCGCGCGGAAGCGTGCCGGAGCCAGGCTACAGAGTCGTCGATAGCGCAGCAAAACACCAAGCACTCAAAACGCCAAATAATTGCTCTCATCCGTGCCGTTGCCCCACACCCCTCCCCAATCTATAGGTACACTTACACTGGGTACTTGAGCAGTGCTTTGCAAACTGCTCTCGCTGCAGGGAAACCATTCGTGGACACCAAGATCAAGGTAGCTGCCATGTACTGATCTTGACACGGTCGTGGAGTCTGCTTAGGGATGCCTCCAGATGTTCTGAGCAGGACAACAAATGAGTGAGAGAGAGAGAGAGAGTGAAAATCCCAAATTCCGCAACTGTTGAGCCAATGATTTCGGCCTACGTTGCTTTGACCTTCTAAGTTCTTGTCGGCTGAAAGTGTCAGCCTTTCCATGAAACGAAAGCATAGCAAACCAACCGCGTCTTGTGTCAGTGTGCCTTATGCTAGTGATGTGAGTGTGGCCGCCTCCTCCAATGAGCCAGTTCTTTTGAAATCCTGGATTGGCAAGAACTTTGCGCAACCGCTTATGCCAACGGCCTTCTGTGGCACGCTGAGGGTTGAAAATGCTGGGTTTTGAGCGAACTTAGCACCGCGCGCATTGGAAGTGAGCGTAAAGAGAGTGAGAGTGAGAGAGTGAGAGCGAGTGCGAGCGCGAGTGCGAGTGCGAGGGGGGAGGGAGGTGAGGTGAGGTGAGGTGAGGTGAGGTCAGGTCAGGTCAGTGAGTGAGTGGGAGGGTGGCGGGCGGACGACAGGAAGCAAAATAAGAGTACGAACCCTTCACCAAAATGTGACGAAGACAAGTATCTCTGTCAGAAGTGGCAAAGACAGCTACCAGCGAAAGTTGGAGGCCATCGCTTTTAGGTTCCTTAAGGGTATGTCAAGTTTCCCTAAAGCCGTGTCCATCGCAGCCATATTCCCTATTTTCCAACGTGGCGCCTTCTGCCCTTTCACTTGCGAGCCGCGCCCTTTGGACAACAGCCGGGCAGTACAGTTTGCAAAGCCAGGGCCAGGGCTGCGGTTTGTGCACTTTGTACTGATGATTCTTGCGTACAGTGCTCCGCTGCAACTGTTGCGAGTTTGGAGCTGCACTCCACTCCTGTCTTAAAGCAAATCTCTACGTATAATCCATCTGTCTACCCATCGTCGGCATGTTGCTCAATACATGTCCAAATGTTCGTGCCAAGTAACCTGCCGTCTGGAAACAAAAAGATTCCGTCTTGCCCGCTGACTCTTCGAACAGCTTTTTCCAACCACAGCTGCACAACCTCCTGGCCATCGTCAGTTGGCTTCAAGGATGGACTTTGCTCTTGTGAGGGACCTTCGTTCTGCGCGGCGTGCCTCAACTCAACGATGGACACACACACACATGCATGCATGCATGTATATATGTTGCATGTATACATTACATTGTACTACATTGCATCCCATCCCATCCCATTCAATTCATTCAATCATTCATTCATTCATTCATTCATCCATTCATGCATGCATGCATGCATGCATACGTACCATTACATTATATACATTACGTTATACTATACTACATTAGATTACATTACATTACATTATATATACATTACATTACTTACAGACAGACATACATACAGAATTCGGCATTCGTCGTCATTCCACCGATCGATTTTCTATCAAGGCCCCCCTCGGCGTGTGATCGAAACATGCGCTGATCCGCTTTTCATGGCAGCCGGAGCCTGATCGTGTTCGGGCGCCGCTTGATTGGGAAGTCATTGGAGCCTAGTGACGGAAGATGACAGCAAGGACCATCGCGAGGACGAGCGATGGGATTCCAAAGTGTGATGGGTCGCCAGAGGATTTTGGCGGCCTACCGTGAAGAGGCCATACGGTACGAGTACAAGAAGAGGTACATAGTGGGCCGAGACTTCTGAAGGAGTTGCTAGGAACGGCCAAGCTGGCCGTGAGAGCGATGACTTTGAGAGATCCAGAGTCAGCCCAAAGGGGGTCCATGTCGTCCTGGAGTTCCTTGAGGGTGTGGTGACAAGACCTTCTTTGCCTGAAGCCTCCCGCTTTGTCACCAAGTTCTTCTACAGCTTGCAAAGCAAGAAAGGTGCAGTGAGACGGGAAAAGCGTCTTGATTTTTTCGCCGGGTTTACGGGTTTACGCGTGTTTACACGGGCTTACACGGGTTTACGGGTTTGCGCGTGCTTATGCGTGTTTACCGGTTTATTTAGCCTTACGTGCTTGCATGTGATTTTTTAACGGTGTTTGAGGCAATAGTGCTGGCACACGAAACCTGCCGCCGCTGCGAAAGACAGAAGACTCTGGCAAACGCTCAGGTGACTCATATAGGGCCAAACGGTTTAAAATGTCTATCTTTGCACTGTGCAAATTGGCTGAATAAGTATTAGAACTGGCTATTTGGTAGGCTGGGCGTTGCCAAGTAGCGGAAGATTACGGTACCACTATATCTGAGCTAAAGCAACGCAGGGTCGTTGTCGTGTCTAGGTTTCCGCTGGGAATAGGGAATTGGTTGGATTGGATAGTCGAACCGGTGAGATTCAGTAAACCGGTGTACAGCGGTGTAAGCTGATAAACCGCTGTAAATCGGTGTAAATTGGTAAACCGGCGCGGTCAAATACCAGATGCGTGCACGGTCGCAATAGAAAGGTGAGAGTATGACTAGCTGGCTGACTCGACATGCAGAGTGCCTTCGGGATGCTAGTCAAGCCTTGAGGAAAGTCCAGGAGGATGACAAGACTTTGGAAGCCTTCCTGGGAGACAGCAGTGAACCAGATCGAGGCAGTCAAAGAGGTTCAGAACAAGGTCCCTTTCGTGATGATGGCCGACTGGAGGAGGGAGACGAGGGTGCGGAAGATGGTTGGGGACACCAACGGGAAGCCTGGGCAGAAAGGTCGACAGGGGCTTGGTACTCCAAGGAATTTTATCCTCCAGTCCAGCGACATTCCCAGAGTTTCTTGCTCGGTTCTTACTTCTTCACCGCAGCGGCCTGCATGCCAATGAGCGCGCAAAAATTTTGGCAGCTATCCAAGGTGAGTTCAGCACCACTACAGTTGGCCGTGCCTTGCAAGAACGGTGACGACCTCATCAAAAGGGATCGTATCAAAGCCTCAAATCCTTTTAAATGGCGGAGGAGGAGATGACGGCTTGGCGGCTCTCATGGCTGACGATGCTTCGGGAGTGGAGCATTTGGATGCGGAGAGCCTGGAGGCCTACTTCCATGAAGAGGACAAGGCTCAAGAGGCCTTAGCGGCAATCCGTCAACAGAAGACCACACTGCGTGAAGCCCACTGGAAGCAGAAGCAGCTGAAGCTTGGTCGTGGCTACTTTCCGCCGAAGCCCTACCAGAAGAACAGTTAAGCCAGTGGGTCCATGGCTCGAGGTCCATGTTTTAATCACAGCAAAGATTTAAAAGATTGCCTTTCTGGCTGGAGCGGCCGGGTTTGAACAAGCATGACTTTTTAAGAAGATACCACATTGACCTTGGAGAGCGTGGTGGATTCGTGCGTGGAGGGTAGCTTCGAGGGCTTAGGGACAGCACGATGTCAACAAGAAGCCAGTGCTTGGATTTGGCAATGGCGCCAAGTCAGAGCGCCTGTCAACCGGGACGATATGACTTGGAGCAGGGAGCGTCGTGGCCGCCTTGAAGTACATGTTCATGAAGGTCCAGGCCAACCGGTGCTGATTTCCAAGAAGGCTCTCACAGCGTTGGGGGTCATGCTGGATTTTGAAGACAGTTGACCGCACCAAGGTCGTGCAGTTGCGAAAAGCACCCAATGGCCACCTGTTGAACCCATTGACGGTCATTTTGCTTAATGGAGCCCGACTGCACTCCACACCATTTAAAACCTTGTTTGAATAGGGAGATGACTCCTTTGATGCTATGGACGGAAAAGATTCCGGTCAAGGGAATGATCGCGAGGAGAAGATTGCCGAATTGTGTGACAACGGTGCATCGTATAATCATTTGATTCAGAAGTTTTTATGTTGTAAGGTTTGTCATCTGAAGTCAATCGGAGATCACAGATGAAGTTTTGGTGAACACATGTGGTTGAGAACAGGATACACACAGCCTTTTGCACATTCAAGCGTTGCTCGCTGTACACCTGTGCGATCATCATGCCATTACCAACGACCAAAGCTCAGTGGGTCGCCAAGCTTCAGCTGGAAGAGGTGAGTGTTCCGTCCGAGTGGACCCTACTCCAGATCAATGCGGAGATCATGGAGTCCCAGAAGCAACAAAGCAATCCCAAAATGTTGGAGGAGTTGGCAGACGTGCGTGGCAGCGCGCGGAAGAAAGCAGATCCTCAGAGCTTTCTGAAAGATCAGGGCATAATCTACGGGCAAAACGACACAATCACCATCATGACGGCCAAGGCAGAGCGCGCCATCTGTCAGAAGCTGGCTTTGGCAAGCATGGAGACCTGTCGCTGGACCAGGTGCTGGCACAGTTTCCGAGCTAGGTGAACTGGTGTCGGGACACAATCCAAGAGACAGAAGGTTCCTAGTGGAAGATGGAGAGGCTGGTCAGTTTATGCCAATCAACGCCATTCCATCAAGGGACAGAGCAATCGCTATTTCGCCTACGTCAAGACGATCGAGGACCACAGCCCCGACACCAAGGGTTACAATGGCAAGACTGCATCGGGTCCTGGGGGCAAGAACGCCAAGCCCAAGGAGACCAAAACGAAGGAGATCGAGAACGAGATCCTGAAGGCTCAACTTCAGGAAATGCAAGCAGCCAATGCAGAGTTGGAACTACAAGTGAGCGGAGTGAAGGGCCGGAAAGAGATGTAAATAATGTAGAGATGCTTCCAGAGAGGCATGAAAAGGAATCGATACAGCAAAACCTAAAAGGAATTGGTTCATCATGAAGGACCCCTTCTTGTGGAGGTAGCCTGTTATCCTGACAGCAGTTTGGGCATAGAGGTTGAACGACGTTTTGGGTTCGGCAGTTGCCTTCCCCTTTCAGAGTAACGTTGGGAGCTCATTCTCAAGATGATCCAGCGATCGCGCCCTATCAAGCTTAGGATCGCCTGCGACTGTTCCCAAATTGGTCCACTTCAACGAAGAAATCGTCGAACTCCAGAAGAAAGGCACAACCTGATACAAAAGCAGGAAAAGGCTGTCAAACAATATACTGTAAAGGAGCAATTCAAGGGGCAGAGTTGGCATTCAGTTTGGGGGTGGATGTTTATAAACATGGTCGTTGCCACTGAACAGCACATACAGATACATACAGCACAGTACACAACAGCATTCGGTTGTCGGGTTGTGGATTGTTTTTGGTGAATCAGAAGGTTGGGGACACATTGCGCAAGAGTTGCAACGAAATGCCCCTGAGGACGCACACCCAGCAGTAGAAGAAGAAGAAGAAGGAAGAAGAAAGAAGAAAGAAGGAAGTACTATTCTCATGTGTGATGGCTAGGAGGGACCATCCAATCAGTTCCATCCGGAGGGATGTAGTGGAGCCACCATGGCGTCTCTAATGCCCCAAACATGATCCCCTCTTTTTTCGAAGGAAAAGACCATGATAGTGTAGACTCTTGATCATAAAACCCCCAGCTGCCAATGTCGAACTTGAAGGTTTTCAGATGCTCTTTGACATGCTCCGGAAGATGCATGATGACGAACACATTCAAGTCCTGCTCAAGTTCACCAAAGAACAGAGGGACCTACACCAAGAGCAAAATTTCACCGAAGAAACGGAGCAGTACAGAACTTGGATGAACAAAGCTGCGGAAAAAGGATGTAGAGGCCTGTGCAGATGTCTCAAAAAGGATGAGATGCCGTTCATCCGCCCTTTTCAAACGTAACCCAGAGTTGAACGGATGGAAAGTACTAAGTAGACTTCAACAGTGGGGAAATATTTGAGACTGTGCCTTCACTTCATCTACAATGCCAGCTCTGATTGCCAAGGGTGTTGACCATGCAAAGGAGCTCAAGCCTTTGAAGGACTCTCATGTTTGGAAGACAATCAAGCAGCAAGCAGCTCTCACAAAAGGCACCAGGCTTGGATGGGTTGGCTTTGATTTTTTCCGGGCCCTGCCCTTTCAAGCCATGAAGGACATCATCAAGGCTTTTCGTCACATTGAAGAGGTTGCCTGCATCCCGAACCAATGGGCGGTGTCCCTCATTGCGCTTCTGCCCAAAAATGCTGACATTGAGAGGCCTATCTCTTTGGTGGCTTCGATGTACAGGTTGTGGTGTAGGCTGAGGGCACCTTACACCCGTCAATAATGGCATCTGGGAAAGAGCCATGCCGGGCACTGAGTGTAGTGCATGCAAGTTGCTTTGAAGCGGGCTTTCATGACTGAGCACCAGCAGGCACTACAGAAAACGGC